GAGCAAATTGTCCTTTCTCTTAGGCCTTTTCTGTGTAGCCATAAACTTAAAGTAGTTATATAATTTTTAATTACAAAATATGCCCTGGTAAACGGTAAGATATGACAGATAAGCAGTATGCAGTATGAGCAGTTAGCACATAATAGAAAATCATGACCAGTGGCATATATAATCTGACTTTTCAGCTCCATTTTGCTCCTCTGATCAGCCATATGATTGATAATAAAAAGAATGATCACTATCTAACAGATCAGATAGCAATTTGGTGTCTCCAGATTGATGGGAAATTGATGGGATGTGTTCTATTGTTAGGTTTGCCAAAATGGAGAAAGCAGCTGAGAGTTGGGAAGTCTTGAAAATATACAATTGAACATGAAACATCCTAGTTATTCTCCTGAAGTTCTTATTAACTTATATGTTAATGACGAATTGTGTGGTTCAGTTAAAGCAGAATTTGCATCATGGCAGGATCATGGGGTCGCAGGAATTGCTGCAAAAAAACTAGTAAATGCTCTTAATGTAGAGGAAAGCATATTGTAAGGGAAGATTTCAAATGGATATTGAGATAAATTGGAATTCCTGTCTTTGAGACAGATGCCTGAATTCTCTGACATACATTGATTCTGGATGATATGGAGATATTTTAACAATGAAACTGCATACTATGTAGGGAGATACTTATGTTCTGTAGAATAACAGGCATGCAGTCATTGCTATAACCACAACTATATGTTATCATTTAAATTTGTCATGATTTAACGTAACAATCACATTTTTATTTTTCTGCCTTTTTAGAAACAAATACAATTTATTTTCAGATTCCACACTTTGCCCTGAATTTGTGAAGGAAAGATTAAGTCACCACTTCCTTTGATAGCATGTTGTAATGCATTGGCCTTTTGTATTCCAAGAGAGTATCCCACGTAGTTGTCAGACTTGCCTAAGACAACTTGGCTAAGCTCACAAGCAAATCTTTGCGCATTCTTTAGGTGGCTATACAAATAAAAGCTTGAAAATAAGTTGTATTTGGTGACCTATCCTATCCCAGCATTTTGATTCATTTCGGTTTACAGAGCTTTAGATATCTTCAAGAACTGTTGTGCTTTAATTTCAAGGGGAATTTGCATTTTAACAAACACAGCTTTTCTCTTGGCTAATAAATATGATCCTTCAGTTCTGACAGCATCAGCAGTGATGAAGAAGAGCTAAGAACGCTGGGCAGTAGTGGCAGTGAAGGCAGTACTCCGGAGAACATTGGTCCCCCTTTCATCACAGATGAAAACAGTTGGTACAACAAATGCAAAAGGGTAGAACAGAAGTACCGGCTTGCATTGGAACAGAAGGTAAAAGATTAGTTTTGGGAGGGGATAATGGAGCCAAAGCTCATCACCAACCAACTGGTGACTTATCCATTTAAATAAAGGCAGAAAAAAATATATTAAATATTATTTAGCTTCATGTAAATGGTCTTAAATTTTACAGTCCTCAGAGTATCTAATTATCTTTGCTAATTGATTTGAGGAAAAGAGATTTGGGGAGAGGAGGAAGAGAATAATAATAATAATAATAATAATAATAATAATCATCCAGAGATTAGATTTCACAATCTGATGTAGAAGCTTTGGCTCCTTTTTTCAATCTCAGAGTTACAGGCAGTGTATCTCTGAAGCTGTTAGGTTGCAAGCTTGAAGTAAACATGACTGTCTACGCGATTTTCCTCTTCCTTAGAGGCCGTAGACTTTTATTGATGTAGGTAGGCTGCCAGTTGAAGGCTTTTATAGTGATAGTGATGTTAAGGTTTAACCTTTAGTCCTACAGTAAACAAAAATTATCAGCAAAGTAATCCATCTAGGAATGAAAAGCAGAACTATCTTCTCAGCGATACTGAGATGAGTTTTTAGAAAATACATAGTTTTAAGACCTGCTTCAAACTAGAATGGGAAAGAGAAAAAAAAGTGTGTATGTGATTTTAATAATTTGGGTGGCATATTGAATGTTATTAGAGAAACCAAAGGTAGGTTCTCGCTCTACCACCCGAAATACGGTAAGTTAAAGGTGAAGCGAAGTATGTCCAAACTTTTTAGTATTTTGGTTTTTTAAAAGCAAAGTGCTTGCCAGTTTTTCATAACAGCATATTATAACTACAGAGAAAATATTGCATGTTAGCTAGTGGCAGAGAGAAGGGGGAAGACTGTTCACAGACACTAAAGAAATAATGCACAGAAAAAGAAAGGAAGGGTCCAGAAAAATTAAAGAGAAGAAAAATGAAAGACATGGTTAATGTTTTTAAAGAACTTTACTAGTATTTTTTCCTAACGTCAGAATTTGATTTTGCTGAAACTCTGAATACATAGGAAAGGCTGGAACTGCATAAGGGTGCTTGGAGGTGTGATTACTTCCCTTAGTTTAGGGCATTAAAATCACGGGAGTATCTCTCTGCCTTTCTAGTTTTACTGTACTGAGAAGAAAAAATATTTAATTAAAAAAAAAAACAAAACCCCAAAAAAGAGGGTCAGATGGGATCTAGAATGGATCTTCTGTCAGTTGGGACTCAGTATATCAACTGTGGGCCAGGTCCTGGTGCTAACTCAGTCACATACATGTTTATTCCAAGAATGATTGTTGGCATGGTTTTGGACTGGGACGACTAGAACTCTCCCAGATTATTTCAGATCACGGTCTGTGAATCAGTGTTTGTCAGTGATCATTCCAAATAACCAGTATGACTTCAGACATGGGCCTTTGGAACTTTGGGTTTAGTATAGATATAGCCAGACTAAGAAAATACACCTGAGAAGGAGGCCTGGCTGTGTTCAATTCATTAGGGTAAAGGTAGCTATGGATTACTAAATGGTAGTCTTAATACAGAATGGGTAGAATTAAAAGTGGTTTACTTTAACTGGGTTCTCTCACATGCATTAAGGTTTTTTTTAAGTAACAGTGAAAAAGTCAGACTTATTGTGGGATGATAGATGTGAAAAGTATTTTTTAAAAAATATGCATAGCATTATTTGTTTTCTATTTTTGGTCCTTTATGCTGCTTGTTTTTGAAACACGACCTTAAATGTTGGTATCCATGTTGCTGGTACAATCTTCTCAGCCAGTGTAGTATCACTTTCCATATGTGTTCCTTGAGGTTCTCTCTGGTACAGAGGATGTTTCCCCTGCTTTTGTAAACCAAAACGGGCCATCCAAAAGGAATCTCTTCAAATACATAAGCAAAATGAAAACCTTTCCCTCCCCACCCCAACAGTCCTTGAAGCACAGGAACATAACACAGTGTTTCATCCTTGCGTCCAGACAAAAATATAATTGATTTGAATTCTGCTCTTCCCTCTGCTGCCCTCCCCACCCTGAAGATTGTAAAATATTTTGGGGCTTAATGAGGAAAATGTCATCAGCTCTGGAGAAGCATTAAAGAGAACAAAATAGGATCTTTATTTTTCTTGGTACATCCAGGTGGTTCATTTCCAAGGCTAGCCCATGAAGGATACTTCATCAAAGTTGTGACAGACATCTGTAGGAAATAATATTGAAACATGGTGTCCAAATCAACTAGCTGGAATCACTAGATAGCTTTACATCTACAAAAGCACAAAGATCTTCAGTGGCTGTAGCAGCAAATAGAGGTTTTGGTTTATTCATGAGTCTAAGATCCAGAAACATTTCTATTCCATGGGAAGTTATTCACTGATCTGATACTGAGCATTTCAAATTTTTGAGCATTACTATTTTAATGAGTCACATTATTCCTTGTAGCATTCTCTTAACGAACTGCTGACTAATGTAGGGGTGAATTCAAGTGGGTTTTGTGATAACTCTTTGAAAACTTCGGTGCATTTGATACGATTTGCAAAATTATAGCTACTCTGGTGGCCGTTGACACTTTTCCTAATTGTCCTCCTTTAGAATGCCTACTTGACAATTGCAGCAGCAAAATAACTTTTTTATTCTCACAGACAGAAAATTTTCTATTGTCTAATTTTCATTTGGGATGTGCCTGCCAAATTTTTATTTAATTCACTTCAACTACGCTACCTCTGTTCTATTATAACTTGAACAAATAACTATTAAAAGGTTCAATAGACTATGGAATAGAGCTCCTTTCCTGAGTGTTTCTCTCCTTCCCTTTTTTGGGGCTTTTTTCATGGCAATAAGTTGCAGTAACAATCAAGTTTCACACAGTGCAGTAGACAGCAGTTAATCTGTGACAGGGTGTTTCCATTCATACAAAGGAACTTTCTGTGTGTTGGGAAAACTGGATGTTTGTGACAAGAAGACCAAGTTGAAAATAATGTGTTTTTAGTAACTGATACAGTGAGTCTGATAGATCCTTCTTTTGTTCCGTCATTATTCACTTTGCACAAACAATGATATCTGATAGATCCTTCTTTTGTTCCGTCATTATTCACTTTGCACAAACAATGATAAATTCCTTTTGTGCCTCCTCCATAAGCATGTGCAGTCATTAGTAGCATAGGTGAATGAAGTTTACCAGGGCCACAATATGATAAGCAATTGGGTTTCAGCTGAGATAAAGGTATTTGTATCTTCTGTTTCGTTTGAATGGTAGGATAGAGTCAGGTTTTGTTGTAGCAAGGTAAATCCTAGTATTGCTTTATTGAGTCAATAATGCTATGCTGGTTTTGGCCAAGAATCCTTGGTTATCCTACTATCCTATCTTGGATACTTGCCTGAAGTAGATATGGAGGGAAGAGTAAAAATAAAGCAAATGTATATGCGCTGTTTTTTCTCTAATGCTTTCCTGGCCAACACATATCAGCTCAAGGACTCCCTGAAGCTGATAGTGTTTGTCTGTTTAGTAGCCCGTGATGGATCTCTCTTCCAAAGTCTTGTTAACTATCTCCTTGACCTTATGGAAATTTTTAGCATTCAAATCTCTTTTTTGGCAAAGCGTTCTGCATATCTACCATCTGTTGTGTGAAAAGTCACCTCCTTTTCTGTCTTTTGAATCTGACTCCTACTAGCTTTGTTTCATGGTGCCTAGCTCTTGTATTTTAAAAATGATGACAGTCGCTTCCTTTCTGCCCTCTCCAGGCCACTCTGAAAACATGTTCAGTTTGTCTTTTCCAAGTTGTATCTTGTCCAGATCAATGAGTCATAGTTTACACATTTGTTACTTATGTGATAGTTATCTCTTCCCTATTTTGGAACGGTGTAAACTGTTCCCTTTTGTGTATTAAACTCCTTAATTCTTTGTGTACTGTTTGTACTGGGGTTTTATATGCTTTCGCTGGTGGGATGATGTATCTCCATGTCATTATAGTTAGAGATATTTACTGTCCATAGTATTCTGTTTCTGATACTGATGCTTCAGATCTAAAATATTTTTGTAATATATTCGTTTGACATTTGTGGGAGGCAGGAAATTTGTGTATGTCCTCATGCATCATTTAGTACTTTCAAAGCACTACTTAGAGCTCCAGGGAGTACCTTAACAGTAAAGATAACGGTAACATTTGATGGGGCAGAACTGAATACTGAAAGCATACTGAAAAGCTCTCACAATTCCTTGGAACTTGTACGGAGACTAAAATAAATTCCTATCAAATATAAATATATCTGTTGGATAGAACTGTATGTAATCATAGAATCATAGGATAGTTGTGGTTGGATGGCACCTCTGGAGATTGTCTAGTCCTACTCCCCTGCTCAAAAAAAAAGGTAGACTAGAGCAGGTTGCTCAGGGCCTTGTTCAGTCAGGTTGTGAATATCTCAAGGATGCAGACTCCGTAGCCTGTCTGGATAACCCATTCCAGTGTTCAGTAATAGGAAAAAAAAAAAAAAAAGTTTTTTTTTCCCCCTATATTTAAATAGTTCCCTGTATTTCAGTTTGTACCCATTGCCTCTTTTCAGTGCGTACCACTGGGAAGAGGTACCACTGGGAAGAGTCTGACTCCACCCTCTTTACATGCTTCTGTTAAATATTGATACACATTGATATGATTCTCTTCCTCCACCTCTTCCTTCTCCTCCCAACCCTGGACTGAGCAAACCCAGCTCCTTCTGCCTCCTCTCATATGAGACATGCTCCAAACCCTAAGTCATCTTTGTGGTGATGAATTATATTAGTAGAATTATATTAGTAGCGTTTTACTGACCAGCTAATGTGAAACCTGTTTTCCTACTCAACAGGACTATGCGTGTTCTCTGTCTATGAAACTACCTTTTATTATTTTGTTTTTAATATGGGCACCTATGAAAGAGTTACATTTTTTTCCACAGGCTTCAAGGAATATGCAAAATTTTGTACAGTATAGGCTTATTCTATCCAGCTTTAACTAATAATTGATAAGAAGTTGCTAGCACCTGACATGCTGGGACTCTGCTTGAAGAAGAAAAAAGAAATAGCTCCTTAATATTGTACCCAGACATGTAATTTGTGAACATGCTTTATGACCAGCCTGCCATCACAGCTGCTGTTAAATACATTGTGGATTTTTGTAAATGACTAAGTAGTTGGAGTGTGATTAGGACTGCCCCATAACTTTCATAGTATCAGCTGGAAACACGATGCCATAAACACACATGCACATTCCAGCTGTACATATCCAATGTTACTAAAAGAAGGGACCTTCACCACTTGTCCTACCTTACGCGTTACTGTAGATGAATATTTATTTCAATAACTTTGTCATTTTCATGTGTGATGTGGTATTGCAGTTTTCAAAGTAACTTTAAAGTAATGTCGAATTCTTTTAAAATAGTAATTCTGGATCCCTTTCATTAACTATACAGATCCATATAGATACATTCTACTCTTGTCCTTACACAATATCTAACATCCTGCATCTGTTAAGCCATAGATTTCTGATCTTTTTCTTGTACTAGTGACTGTTCCACGTTGTTTTCGAAAAATGAATTAGTGTTTTATGCTGGTGGTATTCCTGTCTCATTGGTTCATTCATTATTCTGTTCCTCTGCAGGAATATAAATAGGAACGTGACTTTCTTGGTACCTATTAGGAAGCATCATACTAATCTTAAGTCAATTTAATAGTCTGTTTAAAAATAAATAAAAAACAAAACAAAACCAAAGCAGAACTTGTATACATCTTGAACCAGAAAAATGTGAACATACATAACGAAAAGTTTTTTTGATAGTGTGTTCTTTAAGGCTATCTAACACTTGTATTTCCAGGGTTACCTTGAAGAACTGGTACGACTCAGAGAAAACCAGCTATCTGAATCTGTCTCACAGAATAAACTGCTGTTACAAAGAATTGAAGATATGGATCTCGCCCATAAAATGGAGAAGGAACAGCTGGAATATATCATTGTGGAACTGCAAGACCAGCTGTAAGTTAGTTTAATGGAGAAATGTTATTAGAGCAGTATTACTTAATTTATTTAACTTATTTAATTATACAATAATCTGGTCCTGTGGAAATGAGTCAAACTAAAAGAAACGTATATATTTTAGCTTTTTTCCTTTTTTCTTTTTCCCCTGACAAGTCTTATATTCAAAAATGGGTCCCCTGAAAACTGTGATACTGTGAGAATAATTCTGAGATATTTTTGGTTGTTGTTTTTTTTTTTTTTTTTTTAGATCTGCAATAGCTTACAGTGAACGTGCTTAAATTTTTAACACATTTTTATAAATGTTCTTTATATTTTATTACTTCCAGCTTTAAGGCTACCCTTAAAACTAAAAATATTGGAAGCAACTTCCTTTTGAAGCTTTGTTTTTAAAATGTTAAGCAAGAGAGGATAAAGAAATATTTATTTTCTTTGCATAGATTCTATTTTACTTGTGTGGGACTCAGTAGAATTTCATCTCATTATCCTAAAAATATTCAAACAGATGAAATAGCTTTCTACTCACTCTTTCTTCAACACAAGGCAAAATGCTAAAACAACAGGAAAATGCTTAACTTTATAATAGCATATGTGACTTCTAATGTGATAAACATTTGAGTATCTTACGGTCCTTGGGTAGTTTATCCTCCCAGCCCTGACTGTTGGGTAGACAGGTGTTGGGCTTTTGCAGAGACGCTTCCTGGTAATGTTTAAAGACCCAGATAGACGGAAGACTCAGCGTGTGGTGATAAATTGCCACAAGACTGCTATAGCAGGCATCCAAAGTAATTGTATATTCTGTTCATAAAATAATTTATCTTGTATTTGTTACCTTTTATCTGGAGTAATCTGTATGTGTCTGAACCCTGAAGTAAAATTGAAGTCATCTGTGGCCTTTGAAACAATCCAGGAGGAAGAGAATATAAAGATGTCTTTGGGGTACTTTGGTTCCCTCTGCCTAATGTCTCACAGACACCACCCAGAAGGGTCTTTTCTATGCAGTAAAAAGTACTTCTAGCTGGTAAACAAAGCTTGCTTTTTTTTTTTTTCCTTCTCCTCTGTCTTGTGGTAGATCATTTTATTGCCAGTGCTTAAAATGGATTTTATTAAAATCCTCAGGAGTACAGCATTTGCATTTTATTTATGCCATCTTTATGAGGAAGAAAAAAGATGTTTTTCTGAGTGTTATTTTTTTTTTCCCTGCCTGTAAGCTTTTCAGAGATACCTGTTCCTGAGTTCTTTTCTGAACTTACTGATATAGCTAATGATTCATGTTATACTGCTTTGGCTTCCCTGATTATCTAGGGGGGAGGTGTAAGCTCATTTAAACCCACTCTGATACTTAGCAATTTTGAACATTCAGACTTACTGTTAATTTTCAGCTGAGCTGTATGCAATCAGACTGTTCTAAAGATCTCAGTCCTTAGGGTTTGATCTTGTTTGCTGGCTTTCTTATGTAAAGGCTCAAATTGTGGAGCAGTTTCTGTTGTATCTTGACTGTGTGTTCTGGTATAGCTGTTATGAGACACTACAGTCAGGAGCCTGGACCACAACACATATTTGAAGAGAGAAGTATACTTCTGTGTTTTAATGCTGTAAGCCTAGCATGCCTCTCGGATGAACTCTCCTTAAAGTGTGTTAAGAACTCATAGTTCCTTATTGGGGAGAGGGAAGAAAAGAAATATTCCTAGCAGGTTTCTGATGGTGAACAGCAGTCATAATTAACATCTTGTAATAATTCTTTCATACTTGTTTTTTCCTTTTTTTCATACTTGTTTTTTCCTTCTTTTTTATTTTTATTTATTTTATTCTGAGCAAGAGTTACCTGGCAGCAGAATATGTTGTATCACTAATGTGTCTGCAATGAGGCATGAGTTTTGGCCAATTTCTTTTTATGGTCTAGACATTTTAGAACATGTTCATGTAATTCCATATCGTAGTGTTTTACTCCCCTACCATTAGCAGCATTTTGAAGTAGTGAATGTATGCTGTAATCTTTTTGAATTCTCTACCAGCAGCTAAGAGCAAGTTTGGGATTGTAATTCTGCCTGAGGCTTATTACATTACTGTTTGTAAAACACTTTGAGATCTGATTTAGTATCATTTGCTGTGTAATGGAAACTACTATAAATAAACATTCTATATTTTCTTTTTAATGATGCTTTTCTATTCCACTTACTGTTGTTGTTAAGGTAGCAAGTTTTGCAACTTCAAATTTCTGTTGAATAAGCATTTGTTGATGTTTCCAAAATGGTATTTCACAGGCGTGCAAGTCAAAGTGGTTTATGTATATTCTCAATGGATTTGGGCAGAATCCGAGTCTATGTCTATGTCTGCCTCCTCCCCACTTCCTGCCCCTGGAGTGGCAGGGTGGGAGTAGGGAATAGAGATCTGACTTTCTTGGCAGTGTAGGCTGTTATTGTTGCTGACTTGAAAACCAGATAGCACTAGTGATCAAGGCGGCCTTTGGGTTATGAATTAGGTTACTTGCAGATAAACTTTTTGATATTGATGTTTAGTAATGAAGTTTCCTGTAAAGCATGAGATAAATATGGAGATAGGAGATTGGAGAAACTTGGAAGTAATTTTTGTTTTACAGCTCCTATGCAAAACTTAATGCTCTACAATTTTGAGAAAACTTTGCCTCACATGCTTGAGTATCCAAACTACAATGAACAAGACCGTTTTCAATTTAGTTAAAAGCCATTTCATGGATTTCATGAATACCAATATCTGGAAAATAGGGAAGCTGAAAATTTATCAAATTAATTATTCACAAAAGAAAAGTGTGGGGTTTTTTGGTCTCAACTTAATTGGATTTCTTGGTAATACGCCCACCCATCTGGCGACTGGACATCTCACTTTGCTCTCAGGTGTCTGATAGCAAATCAAGTTAGAAAAGTGAAAGTGCAATTAACCACCTCATCATCAGTCAGACACAGCTGATAAAGAAGGTTCAGACTATATACTATGAAACACTTCTGTATCAAGAGGGTGATCAAACAGAACAGTCTTTCCAGAGAGATGGTTGATGCCTCATACCTATCAGTGTTTAAGAGACATTTGGACAATGCCCGTAATAATATGCTTTAACTTTTGATCAGCCGTGAAGTGATCAGGCAGTTCCACTAGATGGACTAGTCCCTTCTGACTGGAACTATTGTGTTCTGTTCTAAGAGCATCTTGGTCTTTTACCACACTTCCGGCATCTCCAGATGAAGTGATTGCCTAGTGATGTGCAACAATTGTAATAATGATGAGGCATATTCTATCTTTCATTTGCTTTCTTCAGAAGTGTTTGCCATCACTGGGATGTGTTTTTGCCTGGGACTTGTAGTAGAACATTAGAGAACAGTACTTTTGGCTGCACTCTTTTGTAGAAATAGCGTATTTTTACAGTGAAGGTGGGGCAGTTCTTAAGGCCTTAAAGTGCTTAAAAATAACAGCTCACAGGAGTGAGTACAGCCAAGAGAAGCCTGTGATCCATGGTGTGTCTAACTGAAGAAAACAGTTTGAATTCCATAACATTCAAAATGTGATGGAGAAGGGATCCTAAATCATCAAGGAACTGTATCCTGGAGTATTCAAAACTCACAGAGGCAGCATTTCTCTTCCTGTAAGAACTTGCAAAGAAGTGTTGAACGTCTTTTGGAGCAGGGAGACATTTGATTGCACACCCCATCAGTAAAAAGATTCTGAGCACACTCCCCCTAATATAGGTATAGTTGTTTATATACTTGTACAACTGTACTAATATATTATGTCCATTATAAAACATATGCAAAAATAGACATTAAAAAGGATGAGATAAAGATGAAACAAACACTATTTTAATTTTTTTTTCTATTTATTAACAGCACAGAAAATATTTTCTTCCTGTACCCCAAAGGATTGTCTTACACACCCACTTTGGAGATCACCACTTTGAAGGACTAGTTAGCTCAGTCAAAGAAGTGACTGGGCAAAATCTGGAACTGTTTTCCCACAACATCCTTGCATTAAAACTCTTTATCTTAGCTTAAACAGGCTTTTTTTTCCCTCTTTGGGTGATTCTTAGTCTTTCTTTTGGCTTACACACTACCTGTGTCTAAGGCAAACTGCTGATCTTTGTCATTTTAACATCCAGATTTTGCATCTGAAATTGATGTTTATATATGTTAAATATTGATATATGATTACAAGAGAGATTCCATCAATTTACTGAATAGTGACTCATCTCCTGCATGGTGACTCACTGATGTTATAAAAGCTAATCACTTTAACAGAAAAATCTTTTTAAATTAAGTGATAAGGAAAAAAGAAAGGATTGTATACAAAGGTAAAAAAAAAACTCAAAATGCTTTAATTTTTTTTTTCTTTTACTGTGATTTTTGTTGAAATGCCTATAGTGATTTACATAATATTTGCATGGATTTCCTCCTAGGGTGTTTTTCAGGTTTTCAGGCTGGTGTGCCCAGTGTAAAATGGTGCAGCCCTTTGTCCCAACTGGTGCAATATTTTAATTTATTTTTTTTTATTATTTATCACATGTATTGAAAATACATTTCTTAGATTCAGTGGCTATGCTATATTTTATACTGCTCTGTTTTTAATCTGCCTCTGCTGTTTCTTCCTTTATCCCTGTCTTGTTCTGCTGTTTTTTTGGAGAGGCATGATCGAAGGAAGGAAATCAAGAAACTTTTCTATGCTTGGAATTCTGTCTTTGGTTATGGCACAGATAAGACTCAAATTAAATTGCAGGAACACTCACATCTTACATTGTATTAAGCTTGTCTATAAAATTAAGAATTTTTTTTGTGTTTTAGCAAATCTTAAATCTAGATTTATTTAATTTGTCTGGCTGTTACTTAAGTATTGGTCAGTCTTTTCAAGGCCCAAACAGTGCTTGTACTCCATTCTTAATATCTGATAGATCCAGCAATACTGCAGTTCCTATCTGGATTCAAGTATTCAAATGTCTTTGTAAAGACAGGAAATGACAGTATAGTTGCAACCCTGAG